ATCTCTATTAGTAATAGTGATAGTTACATGGTTTCTTCAAAGTCGTATATATTCTTCTTATGAATAACCAGGAAGCTATATTATTTATTGCATGCATTTATACACTTAAAATAATAAATACTTTAGTATAAATACTTATCGGTGCACTACGTAAACCAAGAGGGGGACAAGACAGTAGGGGTGAGGGGCGGGGTACTAATAGCCCCACCCCCTCCGACATTTAGTTGTTCTACAATACTATAAGTTAGGCAAAGGATATTTGAAACCCATTACATATATAGCCCCACCCCCTCCGACATTTAGTTGTCCTACAATACTATAAGCTAGGCAAATGATATTTGAAACCCATTACATATCTCTATTATTCCAATAATAAGTTAATAGATGTCACTTCAAAACACGTAGTTTACATGCGCAGGCTACGACAAATGTTTTTTTGCGATTGGCTGAGAGTACAATTCGTTTAACAAGAATTTTGATTCATGCTTTTTGGAATTTCTTGCTGCAAGACCATGAGGTTTCTCTGTATGTTTGTTAACCGTAGATTGGATACTCGCCTCAATGTACTCTTGAAGAGAACAAAAATAATTTCAGTTCCATATTTATTGGCGATCGTAGCAAAGTCTTTTAGTCACCCCACTGCGGATGGGAGAAAGACGAAGAGAATAGATGATGGGGTTAATAATGGACTGGAAGTTCAAGAAAGTAAAATAAATACCATGAGATATATATTTTATGTCGTCATCGAAGTTGCCTTTCACGGCTTTTACGATCTTTAAGATTATTATTGGACACATACACGCGACGGATGCTAGCACTATCAAGCCTAGAGTGAAAGTGCGCTTGTATTCCTTGATCTTACTTTGCTCTGCTACAGTTTGCTGCTGGGCGACGATAACCCTTATCTGTCGACGGGCCGTCAGATTTATTTTAGTGACGCAAAATAAAATAATGACAAAGCATGGCCCAAAGGTTAGAATTCCAATAAGCTGCCTGTTCCAGAAGGAGTCGTTCATCAGGAGTCTTGTGAATGGTTTTGGAATCCCCACAAGGACCCAGCTAGCTGCGGATGCTATCACTAGTTTCTTTGAGGTAACTGAAGTCTGATAGTACATAGGATGTTCTATGTAGAGGTATCGTTCCAGGCTGACGATCGCCATGGTAACAGCTGTCCATCCATAGCAAAGTGAAGCGGACACTGTATAGGCAATGGTCAATTCACATAAATATGTACACTGGTCTATTATGCAGACTCCCAAAGCAATAAGTAGCGGCTGTACGACAATTCCAACCAGAATATCACTGAGCAAAAGAATAGCTACCAAGAGGTAGTATCTATCAGATCTGAGCTGCTTATTTGCCAGCACGGTCCAAATTACCAGCAAATTGATGAGGACAGTCAGCGTAGATGTGGCGGTGTTGATGGCAACGAAAAAAATCCACGTTGGGACGACTGATGCTGGCAGATGAGTAATGTTTGTTGGATCAAAATCGAAAGTTATCGGACACTGAAAACTTGAAATGGTTTGGTTTGATATTGAAGCCATTACTGATGGACTAGAATGCTTCCCTTTAACAGAATCTTTCATTAAATAGGTTTTCATCCATTGACCCAGCTTTTGCGCAAGACTTTTGTTTCCTTAACTTTTTGTTTCAAGTCAAACGATTAAGTTGTCATTTCCTCAGTAAATGTATTTTTGCACAGCACTTAACAGAGGAAACCTTTTCTAGATATTTATCTCTCGTAGCAATATTTGTGTACAAGAGACCTTAACAAGGAAAGTCTAATAACATACGTAAAGGCCAGGAAATGGAAAACCGTCCTCGTTGTTTTATCGATTGAACAAAGAGAAATTAAAAGAAATAATTACTACTGACTTAAATGACTCATTTTTTCTGATACAATTTTCCCTCTTCTTCTTACACTTTTGGCCCAGGACAAATCTTGGCTGAGTTTCATGGAGTAGAATTCAAAATGAATGTAAATAGCAATAAATATCAGATTGTATAAATGTATTTTCGAGAACCGTCGGTGAGCCTCGAAAACTCACAGACAACAGGTTTTGTTCAATAGAAAATGAACTTCTTTGAATCTATTGAGTCAAGACGCACGGAACATGAAGTTCTAAGAACTAGGATGAAAAGGATAGATCAGTTGACCCTGTACTGAAACTGTGAGATTGATAAATAATGAAATGTTAGATGTTAGATGTAGTTACTCAAATATTTTAGGTTTACTGATTTTATCCATCCAAGGCTATAATAATAAATGGGTTGGCTTCTTTTTTGTTTTGTTTCGTGTTGTTGTTTTTTTTTTTTTTTCTTCTTCTACAAATTAGCTTTTGAATATTATAACAAAAGCGACCTTACAAACAGCTGCAGGGATTCTCAGTGTACTCAAAAGTTTTTAATTCGTTCGGAACGTGACTACTTATGTTTCACTCCTGTTGAATCATAGTGAATCAATGGGGCTACATTACGCTGTGATAACTGACTGGTTTGAACAATAAAAACGCCATATTTTGCGAGTTCTCTTGACCTTATAAGGTAAAATTACGTAATAGTCGTATAAAGAATTGGTTATTACAAATAATTTGTTATTAGTTGATAAAATTACAAAACTAGGGATTTGTTTCGAAAATATTTTCTTTGAAGAAACATAATTCAGAGCTTTAATAACTTTCCAAGCACAAAATCACCTTCATAAATATAAAGATAACTAATATTATTTTAGTTAGAATAACCATATTTAATAACCAATAAATACGGTTATTTCAAAGATAAATGATGGTTCTCTCAGTCGCATAAATTTACAGCTGTGCAAGTGTGGATAGTCAGTTTTCACGTTTTTGCTTCATTGCCAGCATCATAACTCTTCTTCTGCCAAAGATTTTCCATCAAAATTAATACACAGGCTGCATTAGTACTAGATGATAGGATTCTGAAAATGTCAGAAAAATCGTACCTGAGGGTGAGGAGAAAAAAGCCAAAAACTAAAAATAGTACTGTTAGATTTTCGGCCGTAATAGGCTAAACATTTTAAAAATCTTAGAATGAAATACACTGTTAGAATCTAGGATAGTCCAAGCACATTATTTGAAAAATCCAGTTAAATTTTTCGATCATATATTTAGGTCATCAAAACTAAAAAATAATTAAACAGTAGAATAAGGGTGGCTCAAATTTATATATGAAGACAATTTTTTTTTCGAATTGAACTTGCATCAGCGCGTAGTTATGAAAATAGTGGTAAAAAACATTAAAACACTCATTAATCATTCATAAGCCTATGGTCCAATTGGAGCCACCATACACGTCATGTGCATGAACCTTTATACCCGATAAAGTCCTCTTCATTAGTATTCAAGTGATTTTATATAAAGACACATGTGTCTTTATATAAAGACACATGTGTCTTTATATAAAGACCACTCGAATACTATGAGGATGACTTCATTAGGGATGAAGTATGCATCCAAGTTTAGATGAAGACTTAGAGCCTCATCAAGGTCATAGTCGACCCTAAAAATCTTTGACTAACGTGCCTGTCTTTGCCTTGACACGCAATATCCAACGAGTGGGAGCTTCTATTGAATCTGGTTGCGCAAAGTATAAAAATCCATGTTCGTGACGTGTATGGTGGCTCCAGTTGAACCAAAATCTTATAAATTGTTCATGAGTGTTTTAAGCAGTTCAAAAAACTCGTAGATCGTGTTTTATCAGGTATAAAAGCACTCGGCTACGCCTCGTGCTTTTATACCTGATAAAACACTCCTACTCGTTTTTTAAACACTACATAAAACATTTATCTCTTTAAAAAAGTTAGTCACAAATTTAAAACCTTAGTATTCTTTTTTTTCTTCTTTTAATTGAAAAAGAAGAAAGAAAGAATGAGAGAAGACAAAGTGAACTGATAGTGATAAGCTCTAGGTTTCGTCCTCGGCCTGATATTGCTAATATACTAGTAAGAACTGAAAGTGTAGCGCCTAGTCATTCTGTTCGTAATTTAGGTGTATTATTTGATAATTCACTTAGTATGGAGGATTCGTAAATTTCTTAATCAAACTACTTGTGAGATCTTGGTCCATGCTTTTATCAGTGCTAAACTTGATTACTGCAACTCTTTAATTTATGGTTTCTTGTCAATAGGTTACAGTCCGTACAGAATGCAGCAGCTCGTGTTGTTACATTAACTAAGAAATTTGAGCACATAACTCCAGCTTTAATTAAGTTACATTGGCTGCCTGTACAATATAGAATTACTTTTAAGTTACTTTTACTYGTATATAAAGGTTTAAACGGTCTTCTACCATGTTATTTATCTGAGTTATTAAGTTATCAGAAGTACTCTAGATCATTACGTTCCACTAGCAAAGAACTTTTATCTATACCTAATAGCAATCTTAAAACGTATGGAGACAATGCTTTTGTTGGCGAGAAATACGAAAGTCTACATCTGTATCTGTTTTTTAAAATTCTCTTAAGACACATTTGTTTAAGTTAGCTTTTAATTTATAATTTTACAATTAGTACAATTTTTGTCGTTTTGTTTCACATATTTTTTGTATCTTAATTTTTAATTAGCTTAGTTAACTATGTATTATTTTTTATTAGTGAGCGCTCTGAGCAACTAGTGGATTTAGCGCTATGTAAATAAATATTATTATTATTATTAAAGCGGCAAACACCTCTAAAATAAAACGAAGCGAAAATACAAAAAATAGAAAAGAAACTGTCTTTATGTCAGTACTGAGGACACCAAGATTATTGCAAGCCAAATGAAAGAAAGAAAATGGAATAAAATATATAAATGATAGAAAATTGTCTTCGAATGCGTCATCTTTTCGTGATCTTTGGTTTATGGTTTTTGGCTTTCCGAATTTGCGTACTCCTGTTATTAATGGCCAGATGAAAACATAATTTTGGGTCATTACTCTTGTGAGTATATTTGAAAGTACATATAGAAAGCACGTCCTCAATGGAATCGTAAAGTCAATGCGCCTTTTGTCCAGTTTTTGTTTTTAACCCCCCCACCTCCAAAAAAAAAGATTATCGTCTACTGCGTGGAATATGGTTTTAGAGATTTGGACTAAAGAGATAGAATAAGAGCATCTCTCCATAGATACTGATGGTCCCACTGAAAAAAGGGGAAGAGGAAGGGGGAAAATCTCATTGTTGCTAATGTGTTATTAAAAATTATTTATCTACGGTAAATCCTTCAGGAGAAATTACATTATATCACTAATTTTTAATATGACTGATAGGATGTAAAAAAAATGACTGCCTGATTGATACACACTTTGCATAGTTGTACTAATGTGAAAACTGAAGAAACATCTATTAATCCGGATAAATTTTAAAAACGCCGTTTTCGCCCCCAAAACGCATGTTTCCGTCCACGTTAAGACATTAAGAGATGCTAACTACACTGTTAGGCATGCGCAGATTCCTTGCGTTTCCAAAAAGTTTGGTTTTTGTCTAGCATATTGTTCTTAGCGTCCGAAAACGCCGTTTTAGTGTAGACGTAAACAGACCGAAACAGATAAAAGCTACATGCGTTATTAAATTTGTTTGGATTAGTGTGCACGGCACGAAACTCGTGCTTTCATTTTCATTTCTGGCTGCAAAACATTTCATCAGTTTAATCAAGTTTTTTGCAACATTACTGTCTTTCTGTTATCATCGCATGAGCTTGTCAAGTAGTATACACTATTATCTTTGGCATGATTATTGGTTGCATGTTATTTGGTCAATTATCCTTGTTTTGTTATAATAATATTACCATTATTATAACTTAATATAAGTATCATTGTTACAAGGGTATTTATTGACCATCAATATAGTAAGTCATAACAAATGGTCCTAGCATTTTTTTAGCGGGCAGCCGTTTAAACAGCACCTACGATCGTTTGGATCGCGATTCCTTTCAAGAGATTTTATAATCCCTTAAAACACTAATTAATAATTCATAAGCTTATGGTCCAATTGGAGCCACCATACACGTCACGTGCATGAACCTTTATACCCGATAAATTCCTCTTCATTAGTATTCAAGTGATTTTATATAAAGACACATGTGTCTTTATATAAAGACGCATGTGATCTTTATATAAAGACCACTCAAATACTATGAGGATGACTTCATTAGGGATGAAGTATGCATCCAAGTTTAGATGAAGACATAGAGCTTCATCAAGGTCATAGTCAACCCTAATGATGCACAGATCGTAAGAAGAAGAAAATACATGGTATAAAATATATGGTATGAGCGTCTCAAATACGCAGCCGGCCAAGAATTGAGTAGCTTTTATTGATGGTTTTCAACCATTCCCAAGAGAATTAAATAACAAAAGACACGGCGACCATGCTGGAAGTATAACAAAAGAATTCATTGACAATTCTTTTGTTAAGTTCCTCCAACATGGCCGCCGTGAAAACCATCAATATACGGCTCTCATAACTGGCTGCTGCTTATTTGCATTAACGCTGAAAATCAATGCCTTTGGAGTGAAACCCCTTTTAAATCATTGGCTTGTGGGTTTGGATGATATGGGTGACTTCCTAATGTGGGTAATAAATCCTTGATAAGATATGACCAATTGAATTAAGTTTAGAAAAAACACCAAAACGATGCCACCAAAACTTTCAATCAAATTGTAGAGTGAATTCGAAAACAATGCCAAGCCAATATCCAGCCAATCAGAATCCTAATGTTACTTGTGAACAAAAAAATTAATAGCCATCGTCATAAAAGGATATATTCAAAGCTTTTTTTTTATTGACTGCACGAGAATGGTAATTTGACTCTGATGTTACCTGTAAACAAAAACTAGATACCCATTGTCATTTTCTCGTGGGAATAAAAGGATATATTCAAAAACTATTGTTTTCTGCTGCTTTCTGATTTGCTTCACTAGCTACCCAAAGCTGGAATGTATTTATTCTACAATTTGACTCGTTCTCGCTGTCCCCGGTTATAGTAGTCGCAATGACACAGGTGTTTGGTTGTTTCGGAGAACCAAAAATAAGAGCCATTTGGAAAACCCTCTGGACCCAGAGTGTAATTCATCGTGTAGTAAATTTACATCAGCGCATAGGTTATTTGAAGGTTCGATAAAATTGAATAACTAAAACCGTTCAGTAATGGCCTAGACCCAGTTATCATTAATCCCATGATGATCTTCAGTCAATATAAAACCCAGTAAAGTCATGTAAGACACAAGCTGAGTTTATTATTGTTTATTTATCGTTGAGAAAAGCCGACTCATTTTAATTAACCATTTGTATTCGTAGTTTTCTTTTATGCCTTTAACTGGAATCTTTATCTGTTGCTAAGTAAATATAACCTCCTTCATTTTCTGGAATTAGCTGTCACGTTCTCAGGAATCTATCGGAAAAAATTCAAAGTTGAAAATTGAATCAAGTAAATACAAAATCCCTGTAGGGAAGGAAGAAAGGAATGATTCTAGGACATGGAAACTATTCTTTCCATACCGTATTTACTCGATCAAGCGCCGCTTCTGATCAATCGCCGCAAATTAGAGCAAAAATATTAAAAAGCTCCGCCCTCGACAAAGCGTCGCATTCATTCACCACATAAGCGAAGCTTAATCACCAGCCTAATATTTTTTTGCCACCAAAATAAGACAATAAGCGACATTTCAATCATATTGATTTTAAAGTCTACTTTTGCTTGTCAGCATTGTTCAAATAAGCGCCGACTACGAAATAAGCTCCACCACCGCAGCACTACACAAATACATACCAATACCAGTTTAGCTACATGCTCCTGAAGTTATACCGATGTCATCTACAGCCATGTCTGAGCTCCACTGAGAACCGCGTATTCCCTCGAACAGCACCTAAACAAAATGGATATCAATTAGTTTAGACACAAATGTGAAAATTCGAGATCAAAATTAAAATTAATACCCTAAGTGATTTCAACCGGATAGGTGATATTGACTTTGTTAATTTTTTCTTTCTTCTTAAATAGAAAAACTTGTCAACCTTTTGAAAATCTATTTTCGAGTCCTGTGTTCTTTGATGCTCGATGTATATCCTCCGCGGTTTTTTTTTTTTTTTTTTTTTTTTTTTTTTTTTTTTTTTTTTTTTTTTTAATTGATGACAACCATACTATCCTAGCTCGGTCCTTCAGTAATACGTTTTACCTTTTTTTTTTGAACAATATCCTCATTAGTTATAAGTGGTAAACTAACAATATGAAAACCACGGTGTCAACCGTCATATAGTTTATGTGACTTAGGCGTAATGAGAAGACGATGTTCAAACTTACAATGTAATTCTGCGAGCTTGAAAACGTGAGTTTTTTCTCCAGCCATTGGTTCCCACTGTTTCCACTAAGAGATGTGAGAATTGTCGTTTCCCCAGTTGATACTGTTTTGAGCTTGACATTTAGTGCTCCCATGGTGCTTCCATACATATGATAATAGAATGTCAAACATTTTTGATCATTTGATCCAGTCTGTTCAGCGCTACGAAGTACAGCTTTTGAACCTACAGCCACGCCCGAAGCCTCAAGGTAAATGTAGTAACCTAAAGCAGTCATGAAATAAAGGCAAAAACGTTAGGGCGAGGGTTTGCATTGAAGGAGCACGTGCATTTTAACTGGCTTAAAAACCAACCTAGCCCTAGGCCTATTTTTAATGCTTGATTTAGGGTTTGAATCTCGATGTAAATATCAATGCCACACGCGGGGTTGAATTCAAAACCCGTACCAGGTTCTCCATCGACATTCAAACCCGACATCAAACAATAGAAATAGGGCGTGGTTGGTTTTTAAAGTGTATTGTAAAATTCATGAATAATTATTAATGAGGCGTGCGTATCAGCCATACAATCACTCGCCTCCGGCTCTTGATTGTATATCCGATACAACACGCAGCTCATATTGCAAACATTTCTTATCAATTGATAAATACAGTTACTGATACTTAAAACAGTTTGTCCTGAAAAATATAAAGCCGATAAAACAAGCAAATAAAATAATCTCGATGCAAATAGAATAATCTTTCTAATTTCGATGTCTAAGAATTGAATTGCGCTTGAGTCTTCCGCTTTTAAGACATGATCGTAATAATAAGTTGTGCGGTTTAAAATACGCGTTATCTTTCATGACTTTTCATCATTCTGATGAAGGCTATAGATCGGTTTCAGCAATTCCCAGAACTGTTCAACTTCAGTTTTCATGAGAGTAAGATTCTATTGTTTTGTCCTCTGACCTCTGAATAGACCTCCTCGGCTCTGACGTAATGTTTTCCCATTTCAGACCACGTGTCATTCCCTAGAGTATCATTTCTTTGTTTAAGGTTTGCGCTCGGTTGCACATGAGAAGAATTTGAAAATGAATATGGATACAACTCAAACAAAGAATATTATTCTCAAGGGAATGACACGTGGTCTGAAATGGGACAACATTGCGCTCGAGCGCTGCAGAGCCGAGGAGGTCTATTGGGCTACATTGGGAATATTCAGCAAGGGGTCTATTACAAATATAGCCGAAGCGTGGCATGCCTCTAAAATAAAATTGCGCGTTTAAAACGCAAAACATCGTGCTACATTGGGCTACTCACCACTGCCGTCCGGTGATGTATGATCAGCGGAAGGTCCTGTGCCTTTACTAGGGGTAACATAACTTCGACGATACCAGGGGATATCTTGAGAAGGGTCTTGGCTCCATTTACAGTAATCTGTTGTGAAGGCGCATCCTTCTGGGACTTTAATTCAATTATAAATCCTTTAGTAAATACTTATCTATAGAGACGGTATGAGGTAGAGTAAAGGCATTTAACCCGTGAAATAAAATTATACTAGTCAACGTGTAATAGTCAAATAGACACAAAAGAAAACAATGGAATTAGGGTCTGCTAATGTGCATTAGTCTAATAACTATTTCAGGGATTTAGTGACTTTACTCTATTAAGTCAAGGGAAAGCCATATATCCGTGACATAGTACTAGCTAATTAGTACAAAATAACACCAATGAAACAACTGGGAAAAAAGGAATAGATGTGTTTTGTGTTTTCTAATTCTTGCGGTACTATTGTAGACTACTGCATTAGTATTTGAATAGTAGATTGTTTGAATTTTATTTATGAAATATTTTTGCAGTTAGTTTCTTGATAATGATGACAGGATGTCATCGAAACGTCGAAATCTATCTGCGTTAGTTTTTCTGATTAACTTAATAACAAAAGTCAATCTTATATGTATTCTGAAAAATACTTTTCTTGTCCACGTAAACAAGTCATAATAAAATGGGGCAATTCAAAAAACCCTAACATATTCAACCCAATTCGACTGGATCCAGCAACCTTATATATTACGGTTACGTTCACATCAAAATCTATTAATCCACGAGCACTATATTTATCATTACATACCTAAACTACAAGGTGTATCTTGGCAAGAGCTTGACATCGTATTACTTCCTTGACAATCAGCCCCTCCAGACTGTGGTGCTGGATCGGTACAAGTGCGTGTCCTGGTATGAATTCCTACGTCACAAGACTTGGAACAAGAGGACCATGAACTCCAACGTCCCCAATGACCGTCAACAGGGGCTAGAGTGCAAACAAAAACATTAGTAAAGCCAAATGTGAATAAAGCCTCCTAACCACTACCACTTCAAGGTCAAAATGTTTGTATTATTGTTAAATTTTTTGCAGGCAGATCGAAGGAATCACGGGTGGCGTAGCGGCGAGAGCGCTTACGTATTTCTCAACTGGTTAGATTTTCGGATTCGGCGTTTTTTCTCATTTTTCTTCTCGGAAGGATTGTCTCATTCTCTCTCCTGGTTTGATATAAAAATTCGGCGTCTTATGTGAATAGTGTTTCTAATTGGTTCTCTCCTGTGATTGGAGGGTTATTCTTTCCAGTTATTTTGTTTTTTCCTTCCTCCGCAAATATCAAATTCTAAATTCCAATTCAATCCAATTAGAATTCTTACACATCTTCAATTAAAAAAACATAATATTTATAAACATATTCCGCTTTTCTTCATCGCTAGCATAATTTGTGCGTTTTTTCTTCTGCTTACTCCCCAAAGCCGGAACGTATTATGTAAAAGTAACAAATACATAAATATTTACCATTGCATTCTTCTTGTGTACATGCCGTAGTCTGAGTCTCAACTCCATAAGCATCGGCCGTTGGGCACTGGTTTATATCAGCAGACGTGCAATATCTTTGCCTCTTTTTCATGCAGATTTGTCGATCACATGGTCCCCACTCTGACCAAGGACTTATCTTGCTTAGCGGTTCTGTACAAAGTTAAATTTGGACGATGATAGTATTTAATAGACCACTTTAGCTTGGTCGTAATGTTTTGTCCATTTCAGACTACGTGTCATTTTTTWTTTCTTCGTTTAACGGTTGCGCATGAAAGGACACATAAATATGGATACATTCAAACAAAGAATCTTATTCGCAAGACAATGATACGTGGCCTGAAATGGGAAAACATTATGCACAGGGTAAAGCGGTCTTTTCAACTGTAACTTATTACCGGAATTTCTATCAATTACTTACCGCTGAAAAGATCGACCCTCATACAAGGAGAGCCGTGTGCTTCTTTTGGATAGATACGAAAGTACCGGGCGCTTATTGCAGTTGAAAGCGTGTTCTCGACGATAGTATTTTTGTCAGTATTTCCCGTGAACACCTGCGGGAAAAAAACGGTTCCCAGTCGTCTCTTACTTTATAAAAAATCTGCCTGATATATACACTCCATTGCAAAATCATTGTGGGTTGAATCAAGGAGAGAAAAAAGAGAAATAAATGACTTTGTACATATATGAAGAAAGTGAATGAATGTAAGGAATGCAATAAGGTAATACTAATACTGATATACTAACATTATTAAAGGGGGAGGGAGATAGGTGAATCACAATGGAGAAAGATAAGAAAATGACTATATATGTGTATATATCTATATCTATGGAGAAACTGAAATCATAGGAGAACCATAAATGCATAAGAAAATAAAGTCCTAATCAAATCGTTACCTAAATACATACATAAAAAAGGAAAGATATTTGATAGTTTGCTTGAGATAAATTAATGATGAAAAATAAATATATACTACAAAATGATGAAAAGGAAACAAAGATAGATAAATGATGTAAACTAAAGAGAGAGGGACTTGTGCTAATCATACCGTTTATTTAGCCAGAGAACGAAAATGCTTTTTACACTTGTTAGTAAATTCAAGAGCATTTTTATTATTCCAAATATCTGCGATGGGAATTTGTTAAAAAATTTTGCAGTCTTGTATTGTTCCATTATCTTTTGATGCTGTGAGTTTGCGCTCGTTTGATCTCAGTGTCCTAGCAGGTGCATATTCATCGAGTTTAATAATAGACCAGTTTCGAATTCCAAATTACCGCTGTGTTTCTTGATTACAGACTCATTTGCACAGGGTTAGCCTCGAGTTTGTGCAGAATATTCACGGGTTCCAGTCAAGGTCCGTCGAATTTTAAAGTGTTTGTATGGTTGAAGTTGTGCATTCTTTACTTTACCGTTGGTATTTGTGAATATTTAGCGGGTTAACTGTGGTAAACCGCTCATAAAATACCTTTGTTTTTTATCCGTCCTGATTCCTCCAACACAAAATGGACAAGTTGCGCAATAGTACCCAGGGGTCTTTGGAACCTTACCCAAGAGACCATTGAAGCCTTTTGTTAAAGGCTTCCGGTCTACAGTCCGATCAATTAGCATTGCCAACTGTCAATCAATGTCACTATGTTGCTAAGTGATAAAGAGAAGGCGGAGCTAGCTGATCACGTGACGTAAATTAATGCCTACACATGCTCTTTTTCGTTGACTGCTGTAATTAAAGACAGCCGAACTAGAAATATTACTTAACCATCGAAATCGTAAACAAGGATTTGTAAGCAAGATGTTAATGACTTCTAAGCAAGGATTTCTAAGAATCTTCAATCTTCATGGGCAAAAGATTAYTTTGGTTACTATTCATGCTTTTATTCAGCTATTCAAAGCAGTATTTTCTGTAATCGAAGATCAGCTCTAAGAGATAAACTAGCCCTCTTAAAGAACTAAGCGCCTGGTCAATGGCTTCGACTTTTAAATTATTTTTCAAGCTTACCCGATTCTGATCATTTGATGCTATATTTTAAAGTATTTTGGCTCTGAAAGCTACTACAAATAAATGTCAGGTACATATAAGGTTATTTGAGTTTTGATTTTGTTCTTAAAAATAATAAAATGATGTAAATAAATTTCTAATACGCGTGAATTTTTGACCTTCGCTTGAGATCGATCGTATTTGAACTTCTAGCTCAGCACTCGCAAATTAAATTTTTTTAAGAAAATGTTTACTTAATTTCGAAACATAGATTAACCAAGGGAACTATAAAGAATCAAGCAAGAAAACCTGAGCAAAGATTAGCCTGTATTTGCTTCTTAAATGAAGCATTTCGATTTTAAAGAAGGCTATAATATGTACTAGCGAAAATCCGGATCGTAATTGGGATTAGAGTTTGGAGCTCCAGATTCAGTTATTCGATGACTTTTATCAGTACGGCATAAACGCCTTACTCACAGTAAACAGCTTTCGACACTGTTGTTCGAAATTTCACAGTTTTTGTTACCACTTTTTCCGTTAGACTTTTAGAGACTCAGATACTAGTAAACTTTCCCAACTAGGTAACCTGGTCTACCCTGCCACCAGGGTCTTGCTAAACACTGATACGAGGCTAACCCTATGTAAATGAGTCTGTAATCAGGAAAACAAGAGGATAATTTTGAAATCGAAACTGGTTTAATCATTCCACACTGAAAAACAGTTGCTAAGTCAGCAAAGAATGAACCGTGGGGCGCTTTTGTAAAGCGAAGTAATCATGCCCACGAGGGACTACTCCCCATTCTTCCTTACTAAGTTTCAACAAGTTTGCAGTTACCTTCTCGACGCCATTTTCGCTGTATGTTTGCCATGTCACTTTATCCAAAGAGTATTTGACAATGTATGTTTTGACCCATTCAGAAAATATTTCATTTCCTTGAGTTGCGATTTTACGTACACCATGTAAACTTCCAAGATCAATTTCGAGATACTCTGATGACACGTCATTTGCTCTGGCACACCAAGCTGAGCCACCTTTAAGACGACCTTGGTTAGGGGTGAAAAGTTTTAAACCATAGTATTCCTTGTAGGAAGAAGAAGCAAATTTGTCATCTGGTATTGGACCACCTGCTTGTAGACCAAGCGACGTTGATTCTATTAAAATGAACACGGTTTTTTGAGATCATGAGTGAAAGGAATTGTTTCCTTGTCTTCGCTATCTTAAAATATATTTTTACATGTCAATTATTAGTGTGCAATATTTTTTTTGCTAAGCGTTCCATTTATTCTGAAAGTGCAAATTTAAAAAAGAACATGAAATGAAACCAGTTCATTGGATAATGACAATGACAATGACAATGATAAATATTTGAGCCTCGCTTGACGTATGTAAGTATCCAAAATTTCTTTATGTAGGGTTGACACAGCCATTAGATATGACGGAATAAGGGATCATCATCATCATCCTCTATGCCTGTGCGGTACGTAGGGACGAGGGATAAGGGATAGAGCGGAAAATAAACGACATTTCAAGGGCTTGAGGTAAAATAAGGGGAGGGTAGCATGGGTGTGTCCGCACTTGCTCTTCCTTACCATTGGTAACTAGCTTGAAACAAACTGCGTAACTCATAAATCGTCATCATTAACATTATATTTCAGGTGTCTATACAATTACCTCTGCAGTACAAACGGTCGATTTTGATAACATCCAACTCACTCAAAGTATCTCCAGGTCCAACATTTTTAGTATTTTGCGGATCTCCCAAAGCTGTGAGAGTTATTGCTCCGTTCCTTGAGAAGGCGTTTGCTTTGTAGTGAGCAATGGATTTAAAGTCATAATTCACGCCGAGGTTGTCGATGACGTCACTACCATAACGAATGAAATTACTTTCCTTTTCTGAAGCAGTGCAAAAAAAGTCATCAAAGATCATTATGCTATTTCAGACTTTAGCGGTGCATGTTATATTAAATTTTATTTGGCTGTAATGCATGAGCGGATCCATTAATTTGTATGCAACTCAAAGAAATGATATTCTTCTCAAAGGATTTGAAATAAGAGTCATTACGACAAGGTTTAAAGGGGCTATATTAAAATAGCAAATCTGAAGAAGAGAATAAAATAACAATAACAATAACGATAAATAGAGATTATCACATGTTAAGAACTTGATATCGTTTTTATTCACGAGTTTTTCCGTATCATATCGCGAACGAGCGAGTCCTCGAGCGAGTTCTTAACATGTAATAATTTGTTTATTACACATTTAGGCTCGATATATAACACACACAAAATGTTTTATTGTCTTAAATATCCTTAACCGACTTACACCATTTCAAAATGTTAAAGAATTATACGTTTCCAATTCAATATCATTCAAGATATTAAAGCTTAATTAAAAATGTAAGAAGCACAAAATCCATCTTGAATTTGATAGAAATAAACACTAAATAGAGATTTATCTCGTCACTCTTGACTACTATCGTAGTCAAGTTACAGTTACAGTTTACCGTGAAGTGATATCGTATCACTTCACTGATATGGTTTTTATTCACGGCTTTATTTCACGGATATCGAGCTTAAGGTGGCTCGACCCCCTCACGCTTGACCGCTACCTTCCACTTTTGGAACGCTAGTGCATAAACGTCTTTTATCCGATTGCAAATCTTTTTTGCACATAAGT